GCCAAAAAATAATCGGGTGACCTTGACAAAAAAAACCACCACTCAGCCTTGAGCTGAAAACAGGATGCAGCTGTTAAATAATGAATTTGAAGCACCTTATTTTCCCCAAAGATTCCTGAGAACTGTGGTTTGTTAAGCGTGCTGAGAATTGTAGCTCAGTTAGGGGATAAACTATAACTCCCAGGATCCTTTGTTGGGAAACAAGGTGCTTTAAATGTATGGCATATGCTCTGTGGCATAAGTTTAGCCCATGGGTTGGCAAACTAAGGCCTGCGGGCCAAATCAGGCCCAATTGCCTTCTAGATCCAATATAAGACATTAAGGATTACCCACCCCCCCAAAAAAATTCACATCTGGGCAACGTTGGGGTTCCAAAAAGGGTTTTTGCCAAAAATGCGGGTCATAATCATGGCAACATATAGTCCGGCCCCCCACAAGGTCGGAGGGACAGTGGACCGGCCCCCTGCTGAAAAAGTTTGCTGACCCCTGGTTTAGCTTTCTGTGGTTACTGGTTCCGGTGCTGAATAGTGGTAACTCGGGTTACAGTGGTAACTCGGGTTAAGTACTTAATTCGTTCCGGAGGTCTGTTCTTAACCTGAAACTGTTCTTAACCTGAAGCACCACTTTAGCTAATGGGGCCTCCTGCTTCCGCCACGCTGGAGCACGATTTCTGTTCTCATCCTGAAGCAAAGTTCTTAACCTGAAGCACTATTTCTGGGTTAGCAGAGTCTGTAACCTGAAGCGTATGTAACCTGAAGCGTATGTAACCCGAGGTACCACTGTATTGTTGGAGAGAGACTGAGTTGAGAAATAAGACCAAGGGTACGTATTGATATAGGAATGTATTAGATAAAATGTAAAGAAATATACAATAATAAGAGTACATTGTAGAAAAGGAATATACAACGGGACAGACAGGAAGTCCAACGTGTTGGTACATATATGATTTTGGAATAGTTTTTTGTCCTTGGTTTTTTTCTTTAGGTATATAAACTTTGTATTGCCGTAAGAGAGTCAGGGACAGTATACATGCTTAAAATTGTATTGTAATAAGCCTCGCAATGTAATATGATAACGTTTACTGATGTAACATAAGAACGTTAATAAATAAATAAAACTTTAAAAAATAGTCATATATTGCTTGTGAATGGATGCGTGTGTCAAAGAGATAAAATGAACAGAGAGAAATTAAGTTATACACACATACAAATTTATGCAGTTCTTATTTCTTTAGGTCCACAGGAGAAATTCAGGAATGGAAATTATCTACTTGTGGCCACTGATCTATCACTACAAGGAACCTGTATGTGGCTTCGTCAGCATGCTAGGCATTGCATGGCCATTTTAAAATTAATCCGCACAACAAGGAACTCTAGCAAAATTCCTACTCGCCTGCCCCAGAGGAAAGATAGAAACCAATAATGTTCCTTAGACTGTGCTCTGAGCCTCCAACACACCAAAAACATAAAATTAAATGTAAATGTACATCTGGAAAGCTCTTTAGAAAAACTTACAGCAAATGCATATTTGAATGCTGATGGTTTCAAAGACAGAGACGTACTAATATTAACAGTATGCACATAGAGGGATTTTTTGAAATGTAAAGGGGGATTCTTTCAGTTAATCTAAAGCACGCATGTACTTAAAAACTCATTACCAAACAGGAAAAAGTCTTTTTAATGGATCAGCTCTGGATATTTTATTATACAACAGCCATTTCCAGGACACTTGGGGTGAGTGTGAATGTCTGGAAGCTTTATCACAAAGGAGTTTTGTTTGTTTTTAAGTTGGGTTTTGCCCTGGTCTCTTTGCTAAAACAATGGGTTGGAGGCTGTAATGGAACAACTCCTTAAAAAAAAATCAGGCTGGGTGAAATGGGAATAAATAAATATGGGGCAATAAACTCCAGAGCAGATTTCTGAAGGAGTTCAGCTCGCCACTCTCTCAGTAATCAAACCTAAATTTCAAACTGCATTCCTCAGAGGAATCACATACCCTGTAGGATTTTTCAAAGGAAGGAACCTTCCTTCCTTGCAACCCAAGGCAGTGAATGAAGCCTCCATCCAAGCCTTCTTCAGCACACACAAACAGCTGCAAGTTTACTTGAGCATAAGCTTCCTTGAAGACAGTGGGGCTTGCTTTTGAGAGAACACGGTTAGTAGGATGTCAAAAAAATAATATTGCCTTCCATCTGGAAAAGCAGGACTGCTCTGACTTTCCTAAAATTAGCCGAAGAGTTATTGTTCAGTGGATTATTATTATAATACATTTATTTATATGCCTTTTCCCCTGTCCAGGGACAAGGTGGCTTATAGATAAGATCACAAGCAATCCCCTTTCTTTGTTGTTGTTGTTTAGTCGTGTCCGACTCTTCGTGACCCCCTGGACCAGAGCACACTAGGCACTCCTGTCTTCCACTGCCTCCTGCAGTTTGGTCAGACTCATGCTGGTAGCTTCGAGAACACTGTCCAACCTTCTTGTCCTCTGTCGTCCCCTTCTCCTTGTGCCCTCCATCTTTCCCAACATCAGGGTCTTTTCCAGGGGAGTCTTCTCTTCTCATGAGGTGGCCAAAGTCTTGGAGCCTCAGCTTCAGAATCTGTCCTTCCACTGAGCACTCTGGGCTGATTTCCTTCAGAATGGATCGGTTTGATCTTCTTGCAGTCCATGGGACTCTCAGGTCTCCTCCAGCACCAGAATTCAAAAGCATCCATTCTTCGGCGATCAGCCTTCTTTATGTTTTGTCCAAGGAGTTTTCTTGGCAGGGATACTGGAGTGGCTTGCCGGTTCCTGCTCGAGGTGGATCACGTTTGGTCAAAACGCTCCACTTTGACCTGTCCATCTTGGGTGGCCCTGCATGGCATAGCTCATAGCTTCTCTGAGTTATTCAAACCCCTTCGCCACGGCAAGGCAGTCCCCTTTCTTACCATCCTCTAAAAAAAAATCAATAATTATTATAATTATTATAATGTTTATAATTATTATAATAATTATTATACCCGCATTATATTATAATTATTATACCCGCAGGTCTCGGGGTGGTTACAACATAAAGTCAGAATATAAAAAACAAATTATCAAAATGAAAACACAAAATCAATATCCCTTCCTCTCTCACTTCCCAATGTAGATGTTGGTGTGCTCAGCCCCCTAAGTGTCCAGGATGAGCTTGGTGAGTCCCAAACCTATTCTTCTTATTATTAATTAAATTTCTATACTGCCTTTCATCCAAGGACCACAAGGCAGTTTACAAAATAAAAATATTGGTGAGAGCCTGTTGGGCTTTTGCACATTCTACTGCTCCTCTGAAATGTGGTAGTAGGACACTGCAAACGTCCATCACCTTTCTGCTGTCCTGGACCTCGTCTTACTATTGTGTTATTCCCCCTGCTCCGACCATACATTTGTCTGGTTTGCCTTTAAAAATCACGTTATTTTCTAGCTCTCCCAACCTTCTCCTTGCGCATGCGCACAACCTTCCCGCTTCAGGCTCCTCCAAGGCGCAGGCGCGTTTGAACGTCCCGCGACAGAAGAGAGGGGCGGGACTCCTTCTTATTTGCATAGAAGAAAGCGCGCAGGCGCAGGAGCTCTGCATCCGGGTATCCCGCGGGAGACCTGAGTCCGCACAGTTAAAGAGAGACAGACGGAAAGCTCCACAGGCAAAGGGCACCAGGGGTTATGGGAATCGTGAGATAATTCCGGTTGCCAGTCAACAACGCGAGTGGCTGTACCACTTGCTTTCCTCTTCCCTCCCCGTTCGTTTTTCCTTTTATGCGGTGTTTCTTGGGTTCCTTCACATCCTTTCTCCCTTTCCTTTAAAAATAAAGTAAAAGCATCGAGTTATGCTGAGCTAAAGAAATATAATTGTCTGGTGGGAAGGACAGGGAAGGCTGCAATGCAGGAATCTCAACTAAAGCACCAGGCATCATCATCATCATCATCATAATATCTAATAAATACGATAATAAATAATATCAGTGCCAATTCCAACCACCCCTCCTGTCTCCTTCTGCTCTGTGCGTTGGCAGGGACTCATGGCGGCTTGCTGATAAAAGATAAGGCACAGAGTTGGGGGGGAGGAAGGCAACAAAATCCATTTTAAATAAACATTATTATTTACTTTCATTTATTTATTTCCTTTACATAAAACCTTTATCGTCCGAGGGTCTCAAGGCTGGTGTACATGACTCTCCTCCTAACCATTTCATCCCCACAACCAACCCTATGAGGTAGGCTAGACTGGACCAAGCTCATTCAGCGAGCACAGAAAATCCATTTTTAAAAAAAGAAAACTGAAATATACTCGGAGTCGAGAGTGGATTTCATGCTCTTTATTCAGCTCATAGTGGTGAGGAGGAATGGAAGTTCCCCCGAAATGTCTGCTTTATATACATTATTTACACAATGGGCCCCACGTGATTGGCTCATTCTGGGATTCACCTGTAGGCCAATCAGGTTGCGAATTCATTTCCACCTGGAGCTGGATTGGGTGGCTCCTGCGGACCAATCAGACTGTTGCATTCTGGATCCTGTTGTTCTAGGACCAATCAGACTGCTGCATTCTGGATCCTATTGTTCTGGGACCAATCAGACTGCTGCATTCTGGATCCTATTGTTCTGGGACCAATCAGACTGCTGCATTCTGGATCCTATTGTTCTGGGACCAATCAGATTGCTGCATTCTGGATCCTATTCAACTCAGTACATAACAAAAACCAACCAATCAAACAGCGGCAGAATTAAAACTACACGCGTTACTGTATAAATTTATTCGTAATTATTATTCAGCGCCCCGCACATGGCGGCGCTCCGAAAGGAATCCGGAAGTCTGGTTTGCCTTAAGCACTCTAAAGGGCACGTCGTGCGGGGCAGCGGAGGCGTGGCTTGCGTGGGGAAAAGGGTGAGTTCTTAGAAATGGTCTTCGCTGTGCGCAGGCGCGCGCGCCTCTCCGCGCCTGCGCGGCCGCCTCGATGGTGATTGGTTCGGCAGAGGGGGCGGCGCGGTGCATGGTGGGAAGGAGGCGGGAGGGCGGGCGGCGGCGGCGGCGGCAGGGTTCCCTCGCTCTCCTCAGTCCGCGCCGAGGGCCGCGCTCGCGGGGCGTCCGGAGGAGCCGCCGCCGAGGATGCCGAATTTCTGCGCCGCCCCGAACTGCACCCGCAAGAGCACCCAGAGCGACCTGGCCTTCTTTCGCTTCCCGCGGGACCCCGCCCGGTCAGTTTCCTTTTTTTGGGGGGGGGGGCAAGAGGATGGAGATTATATGGGGGGGGGTCCCACGGCAGAGAAACCGCGGGCCCGTGCCTGGGTCGGCGGGGAAGCGCGTTCACACGTTACGCAGCGGCGGACACGTGTTCGTCCTGGAACACGTGCGTGCGAGAACGGGGAAGCCCAGTCCCTGGATGAGCCCCGCGCATTCTGGCCGTATCCGTGTGTTTGCCGCGAACCTGCAGGTGGGGGTGCGTTTAGGCATCAGAGCCGGGTTCACACGTTACGCAGCGGCAGACCCGTGTTTGTCATGGAACACGTCCGTGCGAGAAGGGGGAATCCCATTTCTTTTTAATTTCCTTTATTGCAAAACAATTTACATATAGAACATAACAAACAACACGAACCAGTACAGAACCAACATACCAACTAGACATTAACTAATAACACATCATTTAACATCAGACACACTTTTGACTTCCGATCCACCTCCTTGTGCTTTTTACACGTTATTGGTCTTATATACGCACTTCCTTTTTTTATCTGATATGTATCAAGAGAGATTTATACTTTTGTAGTTTCCTTAATATTCAAGATTCAATCCAGACCTGTCAAGAGATTTGCAATTATCACAGTACTTTTTTAGATATTCTTTAAATATTGTCCAGTCTTTGCTCACTTTCTGTTTTGAGTTTCCTTTTATTCTCCCAGTCATTTTTGCAAGTTCCAAATATTCTATCTTCTCCTGCCATGCAATTTTTGTGGGGATTAAGTCACCTTTCCAGTTTTTTGCTATTAAAATTCCAGCCGCTGTGGTTGCATGCATAAAAAAGGTTCTAAAATGTTTTTGAATTTCTAGCCGTATGCGTGTGTTTGCCGTGAACCTGAAGGTGGGGATGCATTTGGGCGTTATTCAGTGGCAGACACAGTTTTGCTTTGGGCGAAGGTGAAATTTAGCTCCCCTTCCCCCATACTTCTTATTTCCCCATAATTCCTCTGGGTGCAGTTGTTTTGCTTCGGATCTTTTCAGAAGATGAAGATATACGTGTAGATTTTTTTGTCATTATTACTTTATGCCCCCTCAGCTCAGCACCCAAAACACTCTAGACCCAGTGCTGCTGCTTCACACATGTGATGGCCGTGTCCTCAAAGGCAGGTTCCCAGACCTGTGTGCAGCACTTTGCGTCCAAGAGTAGGTTCACACATGGGTGGGGCGCATGGTCCTTGATTACTTTAGGACGGAAGAAACCTGCAGCCCCCTCTGTAAAGTTGATGGACTGCAACCCCCCCCCCTTCTGTGACCACTGGCCAACATCTCCAGCGACTAAACCAGCCCCTCCACTCCCATCCCTTTCTTGAAGGACAGGCTCACCTCTATACAGTCATACCTCATGTTACGTCCGCTTCATGTTACGTTCTTTCAGGTTACATCCCGCAGCGACCCGGAAGTACAGTGGTACCTCAGGTTACATACGCTTCAGGTTACAGACTCTGCTAACCCAGAAATAGTACCTTGGGTTAAGAACTTTGCTTCAGGATGAGAACAGAAATTGCGTGGCGGCAGCAGCGGGAGGCCCCATTAGCTAAAGTGGTCTTCAGGTTAAGAACAGTTTCAGGTTAAGAATGGACCTCCGGAACAAATTAAGTACTTAACCCGAAGTACCACTGTACCGGAAAGGGTTACTTCTGGGTTTCGTCGCTCACGCATGCGCAGAAGTGCAAAATGACGTCATGCACAGAAGCGGCGAATCACAACCCGTGCGTGCGCTGCTGCGCTGCTGCGGGTTGCGTTCTTTTCATGTTGCAAACGGGCCTCCAGAACGGATCCCATTCGCAACCAGAGGTACCACTGTATTTGCTGCTGCACACTTGTATACTGCCCTTTGGCAGTATCACTGGCCAGTTCGTCACACACACACACAAAACGAGAACACAAGAACACAGTGGACTCTCAGGTTGCGAACGTGATCTGTGCAGGAAGCACGTCCGCAACCCGCAGCGCCGTGTCTGCGCACATGCGGCTTGCGATTGGCGCTTCTGCACATGCACAAGCGCCAAACCTGGAAGTTACCCATTGCAGTACTTCTGGTTCGGCGCAGTGCGCAACCCGAAATTGCGCACCTGAAGCGTCTGTAACCCAAGGTATGACTGTACAGTACATCTTAAAACAAGACAGAAGATTGAAAACAGACCATAACCATCACCCCCAAAAACACATTTAAAAGGTCATTTAATGTATTCACTGCTAGATTACTGCTCCCTTGTGGAAGCATTCGAAACTCCCATTGTTCCAGGTGCATTTTGCAACAGGGAATTTCATTGGCATGAGCAGTTTTTCAGCTCTGTGCACTAAGCATTCGATAACGCTGAAGTAAGAGGACCTTGCTCCAACTCAGCTACTTCTAAAGAAAGAACTGCTTAGAGTTGGGGAGAGGAAGGAACTAGACCCTGCACCCGCTTTCTGGAGCCTGTGGCTCTTCACTTGCCGTGGCTCTGGGGACTAGCGAGGAGGAGCGCATTGTGAGCCCCACCCCTCCTGAGTGTGTGAGAGACGACCTTCCTTTAGGAATATTAGGGAGGGGGCAGAGGAAAGGACTATGAGCCATGTGAAAAATGCTGTATTTTGTGCAGTTCTTCACTTTCGCTTTGTATATTATTACGCCTAGACACTTTTGGCCTGTAACTCGGTTAAGGTGCCATTTAGCTGCTGCTTTCATATTAGTTTTAAACTGCCGCACATTTTGCTCATGACATTGTGTCACTTCGAGAAAACTTAAGTGGTATATGTGGTTGTGTGTATTAAATTTAAATAGTATTTTAGCTACAGTTCCTCAGGTCAGCTTGGTATTAAAATAAAAGCATTTACTTTTTGTTCGCCCATAACCTCTTTAACTGCCATTTACCCACTTTCAAATCTCAGATTCTAAACTCCTAGACATGCTCTAGTCTAACCAACTGAGCTATCCTCAACCGAACAGCAATGGATATCCATTGCTGTCGGTTGAGGATAGCTTCAAGGGACACCATTCACACATATGGGTGTACACAGTTTGATTACTGTGCTCTTGCAGTATCGGTTTTCCTGTAATGGTACCTTGGTTGTTACGGAACTAATTGGTTCCGGAAGTCCGTACTTAAACGGAAATGTTCTTAAACCGAGGAGCGCTTTCCCTAATGAGGCCTCCGCTGCCGTGCCCTTCCATCGTTCGGATTCCGTTCTTGGACTGAGGTAAAGTTCTCAAACTGGGACGGGACACTACTTCCGGTTTTGTGGAGATTTTTGGGTTCTCTTTCCAGTCAAGAAAATTTTGAAACCATTTAAACACATTTATCGGGAGACACTTCATGAAGTAGAGGTTGAATAATTGGTTCACTTTGGTTTCTCAAACCGCCTTATAGCGTCAAAAAGAATTTCCACAGCTGTACAAAAGAGCAGATGTGGTTTAGTACGAAAATCATATATGTAGTTCGTTTTACACAGATTTAGTTTCACAGCTGAAGCTTTCCAAGATGTGGGCAATCATCCAAAACATGCGCGCTGATCTGGCTCCTTAGAATATATTTTGCATGTTTCATAACTGCTTTTGCTTGAAAATTTCAACACCTGTCAATCCAGAAATGGCATAATAAGTGTGACTTCATTAGGATTTGAAAAACTGCACGGGTACACCTGGATCTTCTTCCGATTTAACCCCCACTCACCCCAAAAACATATTGACCATTCTTGTTATTGGATCTACTGTTCAGAATTTATAAAATTGTTCCTGAGAGGGCCATCTGGCAACAAGAAAATAATTGAAAATGTCATGTCAGTATCATAGTTCTCTGGGATACCTTCCTGCCATTAAGCTGTTGCTCATTCATCAGCAGGTGCAAGATGGAAATAAATTCTCTCTTGAGATGCTTTCCTTTTTCTATACTTTCCTCACAGGAGGAAGGAACATGATTTGAGGCAATGAATAATCAGACCGAAGCCTGTTTGTTTATTCATTCATATATATATCCCACCGTTCTTTCCAGTGAGAGCTTTTTGCCCCAGTGGCGTGAGCCTTTAAGCAAGGGTTGGTTTGTGCTTCATTCCTGTTTCACGAAATTCAGATGGTTAAAGCTGACTGAACAACTGAGCTAATTACAGACATTTACTTTGAAAGTGCATTTTTACCCTGACAGTCTTAACCGAGATTTTTATTTTAAAAAATAAGTTGGTGCTTCCTAAATTTCTGGTACTTGTGGCACTACTTTATGAATTAAGAATGAAACGAATATCCAATTTTAATGCTTCCCAAAAGGTTTACTTTTATATCAGCCTTGTAAACAAGCTGCCAAAAGTTACTGTCCCAAAAAATGGACTAGCAGGCTCCATCAGCAGCCTTCTGCATTTCTGCCTGGGGTTCCTCTATCTTGTTGTTTAGTCGTTTAGTCGTGTCCGACTCTTCGTGACCCCATGGACCAGAGCACGCCAGGCACTCCTGTCTTCCACTGCCTCCCGCATTTTGGTCAAACTCATGCTGGTAGCTTCGAGAACACTGTCCAACCATCTTGTCCTATGTCGTCCCCTTCTCCTTGTGCCCTCAATCTTTCCCAACATCAGGGTCTTTTCCAGGGAGTCTTCTCTTCTCATGAGGTGGCCAAAGTATTGGAGCCTCAGCTTCAGGATCTGTCCTTCCAGTGAGCATTCAGGGCTGATTTCCTTCAGAATGGATAGGCTTGATCTTCTTGCAGTCCATGGGACTCTCAAGAGTCTCCTCCAGCACCACAATGCAAAAGCACCAATTCTTCGGTGATCAGCCTTCTTTATGGTCCAGCTCTCACTTCCATACATCACTACCGGGAAAACCATAGCTTTAACAATACGGACCTTTGTTGGCAAGGTGATGTCTCTGCTTTTTAAGACGCTGTCTAGGTTTGTCATTGCTTCTCTCCCAAGAAGCAGGAGTCTTTTAATTTTGTGACTGCTGTCACCATCTGCAGTGATCATGGAACCCAAGAAAGTAAAATCTCTCACTGCCTCTGTCTTACCTTCATGCAATTCCTTGTTGCCTCTGACTACTAGGTAAATGCATAGGTCAGGCATAGGCAAACTCTGGCCCTCTAGATGTTTGGGACTACAATTCCCATCATCCCTAGCTAACAGGACCAGTGGTCAGTAGTGGTGGGAATTGTAGTCCCAAACATCTGGAGGGCCAGAGTTTGCCTATGCCTGGCATAGGTATTCTCTTGAGCGCATTAGAGGAGGAATTACCTGACCTGTGAGAAGTCCACGCCTTGTGTTTCCGCACCATTCACTGGCCTGGCCTCCTGATTTAGGCGGAGAGGCAATAGGTAGCCTCACCTGAGCCCAGGTAATCCCACTGCTTGCCTGCACCGAACGGTCCAGTCATGCCCAATATAAAGGAGTAACTATAAAAAATCACAAGCAACTCACGGCTAATGATGTTTTAACCAAATATTTGTAATATGTACTATTTCACAATTCTTAAACAGAAAATATATCATGGAGTCACAGAGGCAGACAAGCCTTTCAATGGTCACAATCCTGTGGCCGTGCAATAATGGAAGTTCCAAGTGTAGTGATTCTTAAACAGAAAGTATGGAATGGAATCACAGATAATGAAAGTCTGTCACTGTTGCATGCCCAACATAAGCCAATACAGTGGTACCTCGGGTTACATACGCTTCTGGTTACATATGCTTCAGGTTACAGACTCCACTAACCCAGAAATAGTACCTCAGGTTAAGAACTTTGCTTCAGGATGAGAACAGAAATCGTGCTCCGGCGGCAGCGGGAGGCCCCATTAGCTAAAGTGGTGCTTCAGGTTAAGAACAGTTTCAGGTTAAGAACGGACCTCCGGAACGAATTAAGTACTTAACCTGAGGTATAGCCCACTGTATAGCCCATAAGCGTCAAAGAGGCAAACAAGCCTTTCAACTGCTACAGTCCTGTGACCGTGCGACAATAGATGCTCCAAAACGTGGAGAATGGAGCAGTTCTACCGGATGACAAACTGTTTCGATAATAACTCTTCATCAGCAGTTAAATGGTCCTAACGGGCACATCAAGTAGCATAGGAACAGCAGTCACTAAGAAGCGCAGAAAGCAATATAAAGGAGTGGCAGGGTCCTAGTTTCTGCAGAGACTCTGTTGGTTTTTTTCTCTTCCCAGAGCCGTCACGCATACAGTAAATGCAGCGGGTTCTCTCTTTCGTGGCTCACAGGCACCTCTAAATGACTTTATCTGTTTGATGGAGGAGCAGCGCCTTCTCTGGCAACTATTGTTTTGGGAGCTAATGACCTGTTATCTCTTGCAGATGTCAGCGTTGGGTTGAGAACTGCCGAAGGGCCGATTTGGAAGATAAGACGCCGGACCAATTGAACAAGCACTACAGGCTGTGCGCGAAGCACTTTGAAACCTCGATGATATGTAGGAGCGTAAGTAAAAGGATTTGGCATTAATTGTCTCCTGCTTCCTATGCGACATGCAACTGGATTCCGCCCTCCTCCTGCGTTAACTCGTGTCGGAAGCAGGAGTTTCGTCCCAGGAAGGTCTTATCAAACAAAAAGCTTTTTGTGACTTGATTTACTGCCTGTTGCTAATCGACTGACTCTTCCCGCCAGCTGGAATGCGTGGGTTGCTTTCTGCCCTCTCCCGTGCGTGCCTAACCTGTGTGCTTTCCGTGCTTTTAAGCCTTGCAGGATTACTTAAATATGAAAAAATGCAGGGGTGTTATTGGTGTTCTGGGAATCGGCACGGTGCGTGTCGGAGAAAAGCAGCGATTGGGCTCTCCCATTGAAAATACTGGGTTTCCTTGAAGAGGCCTTGCCTGAAACTCTGCTGGGGAGAATTCCATCTCTAAAATCAAATTGCGTTTTATGGCCTCAAAAACGTTTTTAGAATAATTTTTTAAATAGCCAAGTGGATTAACTTGCACATGGGATGCAGAAGCAGCTGGCTTCACTTTTGCTACGTTGGTGTAGAATTTTACTTTAAAACATCAGGTGCCTCCCCCTGCACACACCCCCCCCCGGGTTGGCAGGTAGCCTTTTGAGGAAGGGCTTGCACGAGAATCACATATGCATTAATAAAATTCCCTGCAAGCAGCTGTTTCCCCCCATGTAAACCCCCCCACTAGATTTAAAATCCTCTCTCCAAGAGTGCTGGATGTGGAGAGGGGATTCAAAGTACAGTCATACTTCGGTTCACAGTTGCTTCAGGTTGCGCGTTTTTGGGTTGCGCACCGCACCGAACCCGGAAGTACCGGGATGGGTTACTTCCAGGTTTCAGCACTCGCCCATGCGCAGAAGCACTGAATCACACTTTGCGCAGAAGCACTGAATCGAAACCCACGCATGTGCAGACACAGCGCTGCGGGTTGCGAACGTGCCTCCCGCACGGATCACGTTCGCAACCCGAGCGCCCACTGTATAAGTACGGCAAAATTTTGCTAGCTACCTTCCTTGCTGTCTCAGAACTCCAGCATAACAAACACATAAATGAAACTGGAACCAGAACCCTTAACTATTCATCACTTGCTCGTCTGTGAACCCTAGACTATAACCCAGCAGTGTTCATCCCCTCCTCCACACATGGTTGCAAACTCATGTCTGCCGTTAAAAGGACACTCCACAGAGAGCTGTAGCGGACTGCATGGATGAGTATACCCACAGAATACAGTGGTACCTCTGGATGCAAACGGGATCCATTCCGGAGCCCCATTCGCATCCTGAGTTAAACATAAAGAGGAGGATTAAACATACAGAGGAGGGAGAAAGGTTGTTTTCTGCTGCTCCAGAGAAGCGGACACGGAGCAATGGATCCAAACTACAAGAAAGAAGATTCCACCTAAACATTAGGAAGAACTTCCTGACAGTAAGAGCTGTTCGACAGTGGAATTTGCTGCCAAGGAGTGTGGTGGAGTCTCCTTTGGAGGTCTTTAAGCAGAGGCTTGACAACCATATGTCAGGAGTGCTCTGATGGTGTTTCCTGCTTGGCAGGGGGTTGGACTCGATGGCCCTTGTGGTCTATTCCAACTCTATGATTCATAAGACGCGACTGTGCGTGCGTGGGTCACATTTTGCCGCTTCCACGCATGTGCGTGACATCATTTTGAGCATCTGTGCATGCATGACCGGTGAAACCCGGAAGTAACGCGCTCCGTTACTTCCGGGTTGCCGCAGAGCGTAGCTTGAAAACGCTCAACCTAAAGCACATCTAACCCGAGGTATGACTATATGCATTTTACAAATGTGTTTGTCTCATTCATTGGTTGCACTTTGTAGGAGTGCAACTGGTGCATTAAAAGTATGCCTCTTATGCAACTTCAACTTGGTTGCTCCCAACATAAAAATACTCTTTCTCCCTGCTGATGTCTTGGCAGGAAAGCAGCTTGCCAAACCTTCTTTTAAGAGCAGTTTGGTTTCAATAGCCTCCCATTATCTGGATTGTTTGGTTCCCTGGTCTGACCTGGGGGCAGGGCAGGTGGGAAGAGTTCTTCTGGGGTGGGGTTGGGGGGACAGGAACCCAGTTGCCCTGTTAAGTGCAATGCACCCAGAAATGTCAGCGATATCTGTGAGGAGTTGTTACTTTTAGCTGGATTTATAAGAACTGTTAACTTTGAAAACGTGCATCGTAGTCTCTCTTCCCCCCCAGCTCCTTTTTCCTTCTGTGTTGTGTCCCTTTTGCTTGCATGCCGGAGGGCAGGAGCCGATTTAATACTGATTTTTGTAAGCCGCTCTTGAGAGTTTTTGGTTTACAGGGTGGGGTATAAATGCCATAAACGAATTTATTTGTCTCTGTGGCCAGGCAGTTCTGAGAGTTCGCAATATCAAAAGCAACTTGATGGCCAGAAACAATAACAATGTGAAAAACTTTATGGAATAATTCAAAACATCAAAACTAACTAACTGAAGTCTCTGAAAGTCCTTAAATGAATCACGGTGCCAGACTTTACCCGGCATAAGTAGAAAGATATGTAATTTCTTCATTAACCAGTCTTTTTTAAAATAGATATAATGAAAAATACTCTGGAACGGTGCTCATGCGATTAGGAAGTTACTGTACTACCATATTTTTCGCTCCATAAGACGCACCTGACCATAAGACGCACCTAGTTTTTAGAGGAGGAAAACAAGAACGAAACAGTGAATGAAACAGTGGATGTATGATTTTTGTGGTTCATGCTGTGGCCACAGACATGTGATCTGATGGTGAATTTGGGGTTTTTTGCTCCTCCTTTTCTTCTAATTTCTCTCCTTATTGCTTTAGTTTTCCTGTTTCCCCCCTTTGCAAGTTTGCTGTCTTTACCTCCCCCCTCCCAGGCAGCCTCCTTTATCTCTAGCGTCCCTTATCTCTCTCCCTGAGCTTTGTTTTAACACCCACTTCCCTCTTTCAAAAAAAAGAGAGCATGATCTGCTTTTTGCCCCTGGGCAATTTGGCTCCAGGGACCACGCATTCGCTCCATAAGATTCACAGACATTTCCCCTTACTTTTTAGAAAGAAAAAAGTGTGTCTTATGGAGCGAAAAATACGGTACTTAACGAGTGTTGAACTAATTGGCTGATGAAGAATTCAACAAAACAGTAGTGGTTATGCGGAAACACTGTTCAGTAGAGTTCAGAATTGGACATCAGAATTGGACATTTGCTGATTATACAAAGCTTCACAGCTTGCTCTCCGCCGGGTAAAGTCTGGCACCGTGATTCACTTAAGGACTTTTTGAGACTTCAGTTTGTTAGTTTTGAATTATTCCATAAAGTTTTTCACATTGTTATTGTTTCTCGCCATCGTGTTAGTTCTGAGAGTTGAGCAGAATCATACGTAACTGTACTTGGCAGGGATGGATAAGAGTTAACATAAATCCAAAAGCTAAGGTATATAAAAGCAGATTCGCCACATGCTCTCTTGGTGGTTTGCCATTTTCCAGAGGGCTCCCTCCTGATTCTAAATGAAGGATAGTAACCTGGGGCGAGAAATCCTTCTGCACCTTCCCTGGGAACTTATTTTCCCCCACTTAAAGAAACATGCTGTAAAACAAGGAGAGATGAAGACTTTTGCTTTTCTCTTTGCAGAGTCCCTACAGGACTGTTTTACGAGACAACGCCGTGCCAACAATTTTCGACCTCACGAGCCATTTGAACAACCCACATAGCAGACACAGGAAGAGAATTAAAGAGCTGGTAGGTTTGCCTTGGACTGAGATGCTACAACTAAGCCGACCGGTCAGTCTTTGTTCTCTGTTGTGGCTTGAAGTCAAAACAATAAAGAAGTAAGAAAGGAATTCTAACAAGACAATATACTCCCAGTAGCAGAAAAATATAATTTATTTGCCATACTACTGAGGAGGCACAAAACTGGCTCAAACTTCAGAAACTGCCAAGTCGAGTCCCACCACTGCTAATAGCGTCACCCTATTTTGTGAAAAAGCGGCAAAAATTTGTTTTGGGTTTGTTTGTTTGTTTTTTGCAATTCAGATTAATTTGCTTTTACCTCCGCAACTGGGTCTAAAAAAATGGTGGAAATTTGCAGAAGAAAAATAAGGCAACAGATTGAAAAAATGAGGTACGTCCTCTACATAACCACAGTCACAAAGACGAAGTCTAAAGTCGTAAAGCGTTTTGGCACCTGTTAACACCCTGAGAGAAGTTAGCACTGTTAAGTAGTTTCAGAGATGCTAGTAATACAGTTATGCCCAAACGGTCCAGTTCAGTACAAGAGGAATGGGAATAGCCCAGGTTTTCTGATACACTGCATGTTTTGCCGTGTCTTCAATTACAAATCTCTTGTTTGTTTTAGCATCCTTGGTCTTCTGAGAAATTGACTGTTTGATGGGTCTCTTCCAAATGCGGGGTTGAATATTTATTTATTTATTGGAATATATATATAAAGGCAACAGAGGAAAGCACTCATTTCCTCCACTGCCACCTGGGCTGATGATGCTCTAATAATAATAATAATTTATTATTTATACCCCGCCCATCTGGCTGGGCTTCCCCAGCCACTCTGGGCGGCTTCCAACAAAATATTAAAATACAGTAATGCACCAAACATTAAAAGCTTCCCTAAAGAGGGCTGCCTTCAGATGTCTTCTAAAAGTCTGGTAGTTGTTGTTCTCTTTGACATCTGCTGGGAGGGCGTTCCACAGGGCGGGTGCCACCACCGAGAAGGCCCTCTGCCTGGTTCCCTGTAACTTGGCTTCTTGCAGTGAGGGAACCACCACAAGGCCCTCGGCACTGGACCTCAGTGTCCGGGCAGAATGATGGGGGTGGAGACACTCCTTCAGATATACTGGGGCACACAAGACTTTGCTGACTTGCCTTAAACTATTGTGGTTGGCACTGTCAACATCCTGTCCCCCCGTCGCCCAAACTCTTGAGGATGCTTGCAGAGTGCAGACAAGTTTCTTAGTTTGTGGAAGGAAGGCAGAAGTGGAGCAAGTCTCTCGCCATTTCTCCAAAACCCAGCATAATATGAGGCACGACCCCCTCTCAGCATTCCCTAGCCCTTTGTGGACTTGGAAAGTGAGCAGGGTTGGGTTTTTGTGCCTTGCAGTGTGAAATATTCTTCTTCCTCTGTGCAATTCTCTGAACACTTCCAGGAGGTACTACTATAAAATAAAACTCAATTTCTTTCTGTAGGCTCCGAAAGCTACACAGGCAAAGACAGTTTTATCCCTAATTGACCGGAATATACGTTTGGATTCAAAAGACTCCTGCTTATAAAATTAGTAGATTTCTAGTGACTTGTCGGTGGCTCATAGAATACCTTGTTTTTCTCTCTCTTCAGAGTGAAGAAGAAATAAGAACATTAAAGCAGCAAAAGAGTAAGTTGATCAAACAGCTGAAGGAGGGATAACCTCTGGAGGCAATTAGCTTATCATTAGAAAATATCATATTTTGGTCCTGTTTCTTCAGGAAGCTGTTCCTCCTTGCGTAAAAGCCGGAATGCAAATGTCGTACGCCAATACAATGACTCGATGCTATTAAACGCTCTCTTAACTCCTGGGATTGCGACTTGTGCACAATCCAGCCAAGCCCTAATGGTATCAGTGGAAGAATTTAGCATATGATTAGTCTCTTCTCCCTTTAAATCAATGGGATTTTGGCTGAATCATGTCTGCTGTGCGATGAACGGTGAAGAGGTCCAAAGCTTTCATATGCTGCATTCTTAGCCATACACCAAAAGTAGTCTTTGGACGACCATGTGGTTGCAAACACACGCAGCCTACAGCAGCCTTCGCAAACCGTATATTTGGAACTACAGCCCCAAAGCACATGGAGGGTACAGTGGTACCCCGCAAGACGAACGCCTCGCAAGACGGAAAACCCGCTAGACGAAAGGGTGTTCCGTTTTGGAGGCGCTTCGCAAAACGAATTTCCCTATGGGCTTGCTTCGCAAGACGAAAGCCCATAGGGAAATCTCCGGGGACCTCTTTTAAATGCTAGCGGTGGGGAGCAAAGCCTTTCCCCCCCCCTCCGGCCTTCAGAAGAGGTCCAGGAAGGCTGGCGGGGGCCGAAAGGCTTTGCTCCCCACCGCCAGCATTTTAAAAGCAGTCCGGGATAGCAGGGAAGCGCTTCCCGCTATCCCGGACGGCTTTTGAAGGCAGGAGAGGTCCGCGAAGCCTGGGCGCGCTGATCTCAGCGCGCCCAGGCTTCGGCATGCCGGCAACTCTCCGCAAGCAGCGGCAGCGCTGCCGCTGCTTGCGGAGAGGTCCGCGAAGCCTTGGCCTGACAGCTTTTGAAGGCAGGCGGGGGGGAGCAAAGACTTTCGCCCCCCCGCCAGCCTTCAGAAGAGGTCCTGGACCTCTTCTGAAGGCCAGCGGGGGGCAAAAGTCTTTGTCCCCCCTGCCTGCCTTCCCAGGGGCTTTTAAATCGCCCCGGACAGCGGAGAAGTCCTCCGCTGTCCCGGGGCGATTTTAAAATGCCGCCCGCCAGCATTTTAAGATCGCCCCGGACAGCGGAGAAGCCCTCCACTGTCCCGGGGTTTTTTAAAATGCTGGGGGTGGGAAGAAAAGCCCTTGCCCCCCCCCAGCCTTCAGAAGAGGTCGGGGGACAGACTGTCCCCGGACCTGGTCTGAAGTCGGTTTCCCTAGGAACGCATTAATTGATTTTCAATGCATTCCTATGGGAAACCGTGCATCGCAAGACGAAAAGTCGCAAGAAGAAAAAACTTGCGGAACGAATTAATTTCGTCTTGCGAGGCACCACTGTACCAGGTTGACATAGGCCGGCCTACAGAGACACTCACCTACAGAGACACTCACCAACAGTGTTAGAAACTCAGATATATAAGCTAGGCCCCAAATGGCTCCTCAAACCAGGGTTACAGTAGCCAAAACGGAATGTCTAGTTGCTTTTTTGGGGCTTGAAAGTCATATTTTTCAGTTATGACTTTTGGGTTCCTGAAATTCATTCTGATCGTGCAGATAAAATATAACGGGTAGAATTCTACAGGTTGTGATGTGAGTATGTGAAAACGTTCCAGATCCAATGATCCTCAGGTATACACCTCCAGATGATGGAGATGTCAGGTTTGCCCTGTCCTAAAGTGTGCACTGGGCCTGAGTCCTTCATTGGGATAAGAGAAATTTATTACATGTGTATTGTCTTCTTCCTAGAAAGTTAATATGCCCTCCACCGTTGAGTGGTTTACAGTTGGCAATCTAAAATAGTCATTAAACATGCAAATAAAAAGAAACAAGTTACATGTACGTGTATACCAAAATCACATTGCAATATTAATTGAAAAGCATGTGCAGCTGTTAATATTGTTATACATTCAGTGCTGTCAATTGGCTAAGGCAGTACATCTTTCTCAGCCATTGTCGGGCTACAGCTCCCATCATCCCTGACCACTGGTCCTGCTAGCTAGGGATGATGGGAGTTGTAGTCCAACAACATCTGGGGGCCCATATTTGAGAAACACCGATCCAAGGGGTCACCAGCATTGTGCACTTTTGGTGTTCAGATCTCCCAACTCCCAGAACCCCCTGTCAACCTGGCCAGTTGCCAGGAATGATGGGAGTTGTAGTCTACGTCATCTGGAGGGGGCACCATTGTTGACTACCCATGGTCAAAGAGTTCTGGAGCTCTGAAAATGATGAGTTGGGTGTTGCTGGTGTTTCCATATTAATTATATCATTATCTCCTCTCCTAGTTGATGAAGCTTTTGAGCAGGAAAAGATGAACCAGGAATCTGTCGACAACGACATGCGGAACCCAGCCTCTGAGGAAGGCGGCGACGAGCCAGTCGAAGACGATGTCCCTTTAACGCAAGAGGAGAGGGAAAACAAAGATTACCTTAAATCTCTGTTTGAGATTTTAATCCTGATGGGGAAACAAAACATCCCATTGGACGGCCACAGCGCTGACGAACTCCCTGAAGGGATCTTTACTCCAGACAACTTCCAGTCTCTCTTGGAATTCAGGATAAATTCCGGAGATGAGGTTCTGCGGAAGCGGTTTGAGACCACGGCTGTGAACCTCGCCTACTGCTCCAAAGCCCAACAGAAGCAAATGCTGGAGATATGCGAAAGCTGCGTGCGGGAAGAGACCCTCCGCGAGGTCAGGGACTCTCACTTCTTCTCCATCATCACGGAAGAGGTGGTGGATCTCGCCGGCGAGGAACACTTGCCGGTGCTGGTGAGGTTTGTGGACGATTCTCACAACCTGAAGGAGGAATTCATAGGGTTCTTGCCGTACGAGGCGGATCCCGAAATCCTGTCCGTTAAGTTCCACACGACCATTACCGAAAAGTGGGGCTTGAACATGGAGTACTGTCGAGGCCAAGCCTACATCGTCTCCAGTGGGTTTGCCTCGAAAATGAAGACTGTGGCTACAAGGATCTTAGAGAAATACCCTCAGGCTGTTTATACGCTGTCGTCTTCCTGTGCCTTGAACATTTGGCTAGCCAAATCTATTCCAGTCCTGGGCATTTCCATCGCCCTCGGAAAGATAGAGGAGGTTTGCACGTTTTTCCATCAGTCACCCCAGTTGCTTGCCGATTTGGACAATGTCATCTCCATTCTCTTTCCGAACAACGAAGAACGGGGGAACGAGTTGAAGGAGGTGGTGCGTTCCCACTGGACGGGCCGCCACGACACCTTTGAGATTGTCGTGGACCTCATGCAAGCCCTGGTGCTGTGCCTGGACTCTATAAACGACACCTCCGTCCGGTGGAACAGCTCGGTCGCCAGCCGGGCATGCACGCTTTCCACCGCCCTGTCGGATTTCGACTTTGTGGTCACCGTCGTGATCATCAAAAACATTCTCTCTTTCACCAGGGCCTTTGGCAAGAACCTCCAAGGCCAGACCTCGGACGTCTTCTTTGCGGCCAGCAGTTTGACGGCGGTCTTGCATTCCCTGAACGAGGTGATGGAGAACATTGAGGTGTACCACGAGTTCTGGTTTGAGGAAGCCACCACCTTGGCCACCAAACTGGACCTGCCCGTCAAGCTGCCCGGGAAATTCAGCCGTGCCCAGCAAGGGAGCTTGGACTCTGAAATCACCCCGGAAAACTACTACAAGGAAGCCCTTAGCATCCCCACCATGGAGCACATAATTCAGGAGCTGAAAGACATCTTCTCCGAGCAGCACCTGAGGGCTCTAAAGTGCTTGTCTCTGGTGCCCTCGGTCATGGGGCAGCTCAAATTCAACACCTCCGAGGAGCACCATGCCGACATGCACAAAAACGACCTCCCCAATCCTGACACGCTCTCCGCGGAGCTCCATTGCTGGAGAATCAAGTGGAAGCACAGAGGGAAGGACATTGAGCTCCCCACCACCATTTACGAAGCCCTCCATTTGCCCGACATCAAGTTTTTCCCCAACGTGTACGCCTTGCTCAAGGTCCTCTCCATCCTGCCCATAATGAAGGTGGAGAACGAGAAATTTGAGGTGGGCCGGAGGCGCTTGAAGGCCTACCTGAGGAACACCTTGACCCAGCAGAGGTCGAGCCACCTGGCCCTCCTCAACATCAACTTTGACATTAAGCACGACTTGGATATGATGGTCGACACCTACATCAAGCAGTACCCTGAGAAAGTAGAGGAGGATTTCCTTCCCCCTAACAGTTCAGAAGCGACGGAAGAGACTTAACACAGGAACGGGGCAGTTCTCCCTTGTCTGTTTTGGAGACTTGGGTTTTGCCTTAAAAAAAGGCAGGGTTGGGGGTTCCTAACTGAAAGAGGAGGAGCTGGGTCATAGCAAGCATCTTTCTGTTTCTCCGGTGTGTTTCCTCAACAAGCCCTGAGCAATTGCTCAGGTTTTGTTGCTTCTTGACCTCCCCACCCCCTCCTGCCCCGATTTACCGTTCTGTAAAGCTTTGATTATTTAAAACTGCACAGAGTCTGCAGTTGCTGCGACTGTGCGCCTCCTCTCTCTTCCCCACCTGCCGTCCCTTACAACACGACGCAGTTTAATCTCTTCGCTTTAGGGAAACCCAGTTCATGGGCTGCCTTACTTCTGCCCAGATAACTAAAAAATGCCCTTTAAAAATGAACAAAATGTGCCGGGTTGTTGCTGTTCCAGCTTATGGGTCTCCCTGAACCCCGGACAGGAAAATCTTCTAAAATGGTATACATTTAAATGAACTATTTAGAGCAGTTTGAATTGGGTCTAATCCATGCCTTCCTGATATTACTGGACTCCAGCTTCCATCATCCTTGCTGGCTGGGGCTGATAGGCATTGGAGTCTTCAGTACAAGGAGAACCCCTGCCCTAAAGTAATCTGTTGTCGAAATTCTTTTATGTGTCTGGAGTTCAGTTCCCCTGAGACTTGCAGGACTTCCCACAACACTCTGCACAGAGGATTTTAGACAAGGGCTTTTGGCCCCTTCTCATTTCGGTGATCCTAGTCTGGCTGTTCCGGAGGAATGTGTCTTTTTTTCCAAAGGGGTGCGCTAACTTCATCTTGTTTCATCTTGCTGCCCTTGTTTCCCTTCTGTTCCATTGACTGTTTGATGGCCCTCTTTGACCTCTCCTCTACTTTTAGGACTGGAAGAGAGCTCTCCACCTCCCAGAAATGAAGCTATCTTGTAAAAGGAACAACAACAGAAAACTATATTCCAAGAGCATCTAAAACTGTGCGTCGGCCAGACTTGCATCTATAGGTTTTTACTAGCCTCCAGAATATGAATTGCAAGCCTAGTTAGGCAGAAGAGCAAAGTGGAGGATATGTTCTGTTTCGGTTTGGTTTTTTTTTAAAGAAAAATGTAGAAGTCCTATGAAGATTTTTTTCCTGCTGGTATTTTTTTGGCAAACAAAGGAAATGTTTTTGTATAGTTTTATTTCCATCCAGAATAAAATGTGAATTTGCTATTTTGGTATTATCTGTCTGCTGTGGCCATAGAGCAGGCTGTGTGTGTCTGTCTGTGTGTGTGTGTACACAAATGATTGGTCTTTTTACAGGGCCCAGGAAAGAGATTTTGCTGCTGTTCCCATCCAGGAACACTTTGTGTGTTGGGTCACCTGCCAAGCAAACCCTGAGTGTCTGCCACAGATCTTGTATGCAGAGAGGATTCTGGTACTTGAGGTTGTGCGTTTGATTCATGGGGAGGTACTAGCAAGGCCTGTTAAAAACCTGAGAAGAGCCTTTCTGGATCAGGCCAATGGCCCGTCTAATCCAGCATCTATGACCAGATCGTAGAATTGTACAGTCGTACCTCGGACGTCGATCGGAATCCGTACTAGAAGTCCGTTCAACTTCGAAACGTTTGGAAACCAAAGCGCAGCTTCTGATTGGCCGCAGGAAGCTCCTGCAGCCAATCGGAAGTTGCAGAAGCTGTCGGACGTTAGGCTTCCGAAAGAACGTTCAAAAACTGCAACACTCACTTCCGGTTTCCGATCGTTCGGAAGCCAGAACGTTCGGCTCCCAAGGCATTTGGAAGCCGAGGTACGACACTACAGTTTAAAAATAAAAAGTGATTCTGAAGTAGCTTCTGGACTTCAGGGGTAGGGTTGGGAGATATGATTTTGACAGAAGCATTCCCAGAAAATGGGGATTCCTATAAACAGCTTGTCAGAAGCTGCCAGAGGGTGTCAGAGGCATCTAAAAACTTTCTCCAGAGTCTGGACTCTGGCACTGGGATCTTTGGAAGCACTTTGAAAGAGTTTTTTGGCATGGGAAACACCCTGCATAAAATCCAAAAGCAACCTAAACGCTTGTGTCACTTAAAAATAAATAAATATAGTAATTATAGTTTGCTTTTCAGGTGGACCTCCCGAAGCGGTTTGCACAAGATTATTACAACCAGAAACATTTAATTTTTAAATCAGTTGCAGAAGAATAGTAACATGAAGTTTTGCACCCCCAAAGTGCAATGGCAGCGCCGTCCTGTTTTGTTTTGTTTTTAAATTCCCGGAGGGATTGGAAAGAGTTGCTCTCAGCGGTGCAGGTGCTGTTGTGTTTTGAAAGTGCTTAGCATAAATCCGAGGATTAGTTTCTTAATGTGCTCTGTGTGCTAATTTCCTGCTGCTCCTGAGCCGAATTGAGTGCCATAACCGATTCTCCAGATGCTGTAGTGAGAGTGATCATCTTGTAAGGTTCTGCTGAATGGCATGGCTCTTTTCTCGAGCAGAAATGTGTACAGTGGACGAGAAGTGACGTTTTATTAATTGAGCTATTTCTGGAGCTTACAAGGAGGTCTTGTGGGGTAAAGTTCTGCTAAGTGGCTCTGTGGATGGAACAGCCTCCAGTAGAGAGAGACTCCAAAAATGGAGTTGCGGACAGACAGCTGGAATATCAGAAGAGTGCAGTATATTTAGTAGGGTGGACCATCTTTTGTGTTCCAAATGCTTATTGTTATTTAGTCGTGTCCGACTCTTCGTGACCCCCTGGACCAGAGCACGCCAGGCCCTCCTGTCTTCCACTGCCTCCCGCAGTTTGGTCAAACTCATGCTGGTAGCTTGAATAACACTGTCAGCAGGGGGCCAGTTCACTGTTCCTCAGACCTTGTGGGAAGCCGGACTATATTTTTTTGAGGGGGGGGGGAATGAACAAATTCCTATGCCCCACAAATAACCCTCAGATGCATTTTAAATAAAAGGACACATTTTACTCATGTAAAAATACACTGATTCCCGGACCGTCCACAGGCCAGATTGAGGCGATTGGGCCGGATCCGGCCCCCAGGCCTTAGTTTGCCTGTTGTTGTTTAGTCGTTTAGTCGTGTCCGACTCTTCATGACCCCATGGACCAGAGCGCGCCAGGCACTCCTGTCTTCCACTGCCTCCCGCAGTGGTAGCTTCGGGAACACTGTCCAACCATCTCGTCCTCTGTCGTCCCCTTCTCCTGGTGCCCTCCATCTTTCCCAACATCAGGGTCTTTTCCAGGGAGTCTTCTCGTGAGGTGGCCAAAGTATTGGAGCCTCAGCTTCACGATCTGTCCTTCCGGTGAGCACTCAGGGCTGATTTCCTTCAGAATGGATCGGTTTGATCTTCTTGCAGTCCATGGGACTCTCAAGAGTCTCCTTCAGCACCATAATTCAAAAGCATCCATTCTTTGGCGATCAGCCTTTTTTATGGTCCAGCTCTCATTTCCATACATCACTACTGGGAAACCATGGCTTTAACTATACGGACCTTTGTTGGCAAGGTGATGTCTCTGCTTTTTAAGATGCTGTCTAGGTTTGTCATTGCTTTTCTCCCAAGAAGCAGGCGTCTTTTAATTTTGTGACTGCTGTCACCATCTGCAGTGATCATGGAGCCCAAGACAGTAAAATCTCTCACTGCCTCCATTTCTTCCCCTTCTATTTGCCAGGAGGTCATGGGCCCAGTGTCCATGATCTTCGTTTTTTTTATGTTGAGCTTCAGACCATATTTTGCGCTCTCCTCTTTCACCCTCAATAAAAGGTTCTTTAATTCCTCCTCACTTTCTGCCATCAAGGTTGTGTCATCTGCATATCTGAGGTTGTTGATATGTCTTCCGGCAATCTTAATTCCGGCTTGGGATTCATCCAGCCCAGCCTTTCACATAATGAATTTGTGGCCAATAGCCAGGTTCAAAATGCGCCTAGCACCTGGCTAATTTCGAACACTGGGGGAACATTTGATCGTCCTGGTGTTGCCAGGCTACAATTCCCATCAGCTCCTACAAGCATAGCCAGTTCAAGAACATCTGGAGAGCCAAAGGCTCCCTACACCTGCCACAAGGCTTTGATTAAACAATAAAAACATATTGACCAAATCTGGCAGTTTAAAGCTAAATAAGAGATATGTCATTGGCATCTGTCTCGGGAGACAATGGAGGTGCCTTTACAATGGAGGTGAAGGACAATGGAGGTGAAGTCAAATTGCTGGAAGGTTGCAGCAGCTGTGGCTGTAGAGACTGATATGGGAGAGACATGTTTTGTTGCAGTTGGGGCAGATGAAGGCGTCCGGTTGTGCTGCTGTAGATGCACCATGGCGCTTCTTCTCTGCACACTGCCCAGCAGTCATTCCTCCTCTGGTCACTGCTATGAATGGATGGCCTGTCTGTCTCCAGGCATTGTGGTCATCTGCAAGGGATTCCAACACGGGGTTGATGTTGCCCCCCTTTGTGTCTCATTTGCAGACATCTTTGTAGCACAGAGTTGGGTCAGCTGGTGCCTGAAGCCAGCTCCTCGTAGAGTACATCCTTGGGTATCCTGCCATCTTCCATTCTGTGGACGGGACCAAGCCAAAATAGACGTCACTGAGACGGGAGCACAAATATGCCGGGATAAAGCACGGGTTGGTGCTGATGGGAATTGTAGTCCAAAACATCTGGAGGAAATGAAGGCTAGGATAAATCTTGGAGACGAATCGCAGTAGCTTGCAGCACCAAGGTACTGGGGTTATATTCCAGGCAGTTGAAGTGTGTTGCAGCAGGCGAGGTTAATTGCTCTTGCCATTTTGTTAAATTCGTAAGCTCTCGTTTCCCCTCAAACAAAACAAAACCCCACCGTGAACTGGTTTGCAACCAGCAACACGTGGGGGGTTAGAAATTAAAGTGGAACAGCTGCCTTTGGCACAACGGGTAATGCAAAAGGAGCAAAGAGTGCCAAGCACCGTCAAAGCGCGATCTGAAAAGTTCCTAACGAAAACCATATTGGCACAGGGCCCTGAGGAGGGAGGAAAACCTGTTTTGGAGTGGAAGAAGAATAGCCCATCAATCAACAAGGGATAGATGCATGTGGCCAAAACCTAAGTGGAAGCAGGCCTGAAACAGGCAGCTCTAAAGCCCTCGATAATGAGATCCCATAAAGATCGGGATGGGAAGCCTGTGGCCCACTAGATCAGCGGTTCTCAACCTGTTGGTCCCCAGATATTGTTGGACTACAACTCCCATCATCCCTGAGCTCTGGCCTTGCTAGCTAGGGGTGATGGGAGTTGTAATTCAACAACATCTGGGGACCCACAGGTTAAGAAAGACTGCATTAGATGATACCGGACTACAAATCCCATCAGCCTTGGCCATAGCCCACGCTGATGGGAAGCTAGCCCTGGTGACTATCTAATGCTTATTAGATGGATTTCCCCTAAATTGATTTCTGAACTTTGAATTTTATTGTTATTCATGTTTTTATACTGTTTCTTCTGCTGCTTTTACAATTAAGTGTTTTAAATTTGTTGTTAGCCGCTCTGAGCCCAGTTTTTGAACCGGGAAGGGTGGGGTATAACTAAAATATTATTATTATTATTATCCCTAGCAAATGGGACCAGTGGTCAGGGATGATGGGAGTTGTAGTCCCAAAACATCTGTAGGGCTGAGTTTGCCTATGCCTGGTGTAGGGTTTACTCCTTAATCTTTTCTTCTTTTAAGATGTCCTGCAAGTACCAGGCAAGTTTGGCAGTTTCCCCAGCGCAAAGAGAAACATACCTGCACGTTCAGGTTGCACAATTATCATTGATGCTGCGCTCTTGCAAAAGATACCCATTACCCCTTGCCAATCTTTGTGGGGTTTTTTTGCAATGTGGAAGGTATGGGAAAATGCTTGCTTGATGCAATATCATCTAACCTCCCCCCACAACTTCCCCAAGTCCGCCATAAACCTTTTGGGTGCTGTTTCAGTCCTAACAATAGCTTCCCATCCCACCCCCAACCGGGGGGATCTTGGAAGCATTTTTTTGGCATGGGAAGAAGCCCACCCCTCTGCCTCTCCCCGATCATCCCTGCTTTTCACCTCTCTTTTGAGCTGCTCCTTTGTCGAGACACCTCTTGGCCTGCCGGAAAGTGCTGGATGGATTTGCCAGCTCTCCTGCTGAACCCAGAGCCTCCAGAGACACCTCTAAGCATTATAACTTGGTCTCCAAGACGGAGGATCTCGGCCAACAGAAATGGAAACCGTTTGATCCAGATG